AAGAGCCACGGGCTATGATGTATAATGGACTCAGAGAAATTGAAAGCATCACATCTTCACTTTTTCATTATGCTAAGTGTAGGCATTTGTGAGCAGTTTCCAGAACTATGTATTACTTGATTGCGTTGGAACTGTTTTAGTTGGGAGAAGAAAATGAAGACTCAAGAAAGATGCAAACTGGCCTGATTCTGTTTTGCCAGATTTGGTCATGTGTTTTGTTTCTTTCTTTCTTAGAGATAAAATATCACTTTCAGAATGTCCCATTTGAACATCTTTCTTCTCCCTTCTGCTCTTCCTCATCTTGCTGATTTAGTGTACCATCCTCCCAGTTGCTCAAGCCAGAAGTGTTTAAGTCATCCTAGATTACTCCTTCCCTACCCTCCACTACATACAATTTGTCCCCAGGCATCTCTGTGGTTCTACGTATCTCCCTATCTGTTCAAATTTGAATCAGCATCATACCTAGCCCAGTGGCTCTTCTGATCTCTGCATCTTTGGCTTGCACCCTCCCTCAATTCCCTTGGAAATGTGTTTCCAGTCATCTGATCACGTTCCTCTCTTACTCAAGTTCCTTAATGACTAGCCATCACCTGCTGAATAAATCCAATCTGCTTTGCAAAGCCTGCCGAGAAAGCCCTCCAGGATATGGCCCTGAGTTCTGCGTGGCTTCGCCTCCTGCTCTTTCCTTCCGTCTAGCCTTGTAATTTCCCCCAAACAAGGCCGTTCTCTCAAATTCATTTGCCTTGGCACCTTTGTTCCAATGTTGCATTTCTACAGAGCAAACCCTTATTCCTCTTATTCAATGTACAGGTCTCCTGGGAAACGCTGCCTTCTTATAAAGCTTTCCTTGATCCCCAGATAGGTGTCAAAGCCTTTCTCCTAGGCATCCCATTGCACTTGGTACTTACTCCTAGTATCATAATCTCTGTATTTCATGGACCGAGTGTGTTCTTCCTACCAAAATTTAACTCCTTAAGAACAAGGACTGGCTGCGGCGTGGAGACCGGATGCTGACACCGAGACACTTGAATTAGCTTTAGCAGAAGAGAAATGGAGGAACCATAGAACATTAAGGACGAATTCAGGAAGACCCGAGACCATGGAGAACTTGCCTGCTCTCTACACTATTTTCCAAGGAGAGGTTGCTATGGTGACAGACTGTGGAGGCAAGTCAAAATCCCAGGCTGTCGGAAGCAAGGTCTGGTCCATCGAACTCACATGTCATCCTGTCGCGTGGATAAGCCCTCTGAGATAGTAGATGTCGGAGAGAAGGTGTGGGTGAAGCTTCTCGGACGAGAGATGAAAAGGGAAAGGATAAAAGTATCCCTCTCCGTGAAAGCTGTCAACCAAGGGACTGGGAAGGACCTTGACGCCAACAGCGTTATCATTGAGCAATAAGAGAGGCAGAGGCGGTCCTTCCAGGATTACACTGGGCAGAAGATCACCCTCGAGACTGTCCTGAACACTACCTGCAAGGAGTGTGGCTGTGAAGGCCACTTTGCAAAGCGCTGTTTCATGCAACCAGGTGGGAGCAAGTACTCTCTGATACCTAATGAGAGAGAGAAGGAAGAGGCAAAATCAGCAGAGTTTGAAAAGCCTGACCCCACGAGAAATTCTTCTAGAAAAAGAAAGAAGGAAAAGGAGAAAAAGAAACATAGAGACAGGAAGTCATCTGACTCTGACAGCTCGGACTCTGAGAGTGACACACAAGAGGGCAAGGCACACGTCAAAAGACAGCAAGGCAGCAAAGAAGAAAAAGAAGAAGCAGCACAAGGAGTGAGTGGAGAGAGTGGAGGGGGTGGTAGAGAGAAGGAACCAGGAGCCTTGTGCCTTGAAGTCCTGGCTCCTGCAAAGACTCAGTAGTGAGAATATGGCCTTCCACCCCATTGACTCCTCTCCCATGGGAGATGGCTTCCCCTCCTGCCACAGGCAGGTTTGGGAGATATCAAAAGTATCTGCCTGAATGAGTTCTTTCCTTATCACTCCAGTCCCTTTGCAAATGACCCCTGCAGCTGACCCATTCATTCACCCAACTTCCTTCATTCAGCAGGAGGTCCTATTACCCTCTTCCAGCTGCCACCGCCAGGGCCAGACTCCTGTACAGGCGTCCAGGCTAGGGCCACAGGTACTGCTGTGGAGGTGAGTCTGGCTGTAGTTGGAGAACAGAGTGATTGGCCCCTCCCTGTTGGCCTGCCTTGGGCTGATTGGTGGGTGGTCTCTGCTGTATCCAACACAGGGGCAGAGGGAGACTGGCAGTACTAGGGAGAACATGGTAAGAAGTGGTGCTCACTTTTTCCATTCCCCCTGACATGATTCTACTATGTTAGAAGCGACAGCCAGTGGTCACAGCCAGAAAACCATTGTTTGCAGTGACTGAGCTTGTGTGTGACGTTCCGCCCGATCACGGAACCAGACAGCTCAAGCCAAGATCATTGCTTTACTTTGTATTTACTACAATGTGAGTCAGTTGGTTCCAAAAAAAAAAAAAAAACGAGGACTGTGTTGTCATTTTGACAATCCCAAGCCTAATACTGTTTCTAGCACGTAATAGGTGCTCATTGAACTTTGTTTGAATTCATTATGCAGGAGGTCATACTAAATAAAAATAAAATGTGTCTTCTAGGGATTGATTAATTTTATTTCAGTCATGAGCTATTGTTCAAAGGTTGGCAAACTACAGCCCACTGTCCAAATCCAGCCTTCCACCTGTTTCTGTAAATGAAGTTTGACTGGCGCGCAGCCACACCCATTCATTCATAAACTGTCTATGGTTGCTCTCATGCCACAAAGGCAGATCTGAGTAGTTTTGACAGAGACCACATGGCCCACAAGTCCTGAAATATTTACTGTCTGGCCTTTTACAGAAGAAGATAGCCAACCCCTGCTACAGATACTAGAGCCCGTCGGAGGGCATATTTTTAAATGCATTTAAAGAATAGATATGTAATTCCATTTTGACACTTCAAGCAGCCGCGGGCTCCCTTAGATACCTAGACTTCATATTTAAAAATCCCCAGCTCATCTGGAACTTCCCATTTGGGTGAGGGGAAAGCAATTCACTGATGTCGTACCTGTGGTGCCCTAATCTTAAAGGGTGTGAGTGAGAGGTACACCCAACACTTAAGTCCCCAGTTCCTGTCTAAACTTGTGGTTAGTCCAGCTATACCAAAAAAAAAAAAAAAAAAGAAAAAAATCCAAAATACACTGGGCCTGGAAGAATGTTCTTCAGTTCACCGAACGTGACTGCAGCCTACCCGCTTTGCCTACATTTATGCCCTCACTCCTCGGCCCTGACGCATTCCCACACCCTGTTCCCTGTGCCCCTCCTGGGTCCCTGGTACCCCTCCTTCTCACCCACTGGGTGCAGATGCACAGGTGTGAAGGCAAACAAACAAAAATTCCTCATCTCCTTGAAGCTCTGCTCAAACCTGGACTTCCCTGTGAGGTCTTTCCCAGCCCTTCCACCTAACAGTGTAAATCCCTGTCCTCTCCTCACACTGCCGGCCCCTTCCCTGCTTTTTGTTCCTTCCTTAGCAGTTATCATTACTTAACACGCTACATTCTTTACTTACCCTTGTTTATTTTCTGCCCCTACTAGAGTATGATATCTCCATTTGTTAAATAAATCCATGAAATCCCAGATAAAGAGGAAAAAAATAACAAAGAATTAACACAGTGCCGTTCACTCTTTGGAATGAACCTTCTAGGCAGGAATTTGCTACCAGTAGGGAACAAAGGTGTCTTAGCAGTCGCTGGGGCCAGCCTTTCTGTCTCTCTTCTTTAAGGTGAATAGTGAGGATGGTGAAGTCTTCTGGGATTCCTTAAATGTTCCCCACATCCGCAAGAAGTCCCCGGCAGTGTCTGTAGGGCCCAGCACTATTCCTTCTCCCACAATTTTTCTTGATTGTTAACGAAACAGTAGATACCTCTTCACAGCTGTTGTGCCCTGGTTGATATCTGTGATTCGTAGGAATTCCTCCTCAGTGAGGGGACATTGGGCTTCCAAGGATTGTGAAGGATTGTTTCTTAGGTCATCGCTTTCTCACTGTCTGCATCAAGGGTAGAGATATTCACTGTCAGAGGTGTGAAATCAGAGGTGTGTGTGTGAGCACACAGATAGCCTCAGGATTGTGGGAATCTTTGCTTTGATTCTTTGATGTGGAGTATTTTAGCTTCAAACGTCTCTGTAAATATGTGTAGCTTTTATTGATCATATCTCTATACTTACTGTGATCAAAAGAGCTCATTAGACTGCTCTAAATAGAAACTCAGTGGTTACAATTTAGCGTAGAATTTAAAAGCCTAAGATGTTTTAGCTGGAGTCCTGGTTAGTTTCAAATCTTGTAAGTTTTACAATTTGGCAAAAACTACTTAACCTTCCTAGGCCTCAATTTATTCTATATTATATTATATTATACTTATATATACTATATATTACTATAATATCAACATAATGTATCCTAAGTATATATTACAATAATGTATCATAAGTATGAGTTATATATAATAATAATATATTGTGTCATATATAATAAATATACTAGATTGTATTATTATATAGAGGAAGTGACTAAAGAGCCCTTGGCACTTTGCTGGTACACGGTAGGCTATCAGTATACGTTTACCCTCCTATGTCTAGTGTGCACAATGGCAATTAGCGGTAGTTTTTCCTGTTACTGAGAAAGAAAAACCGAAAAGTTCCCATGTGTTCCCCCCATGAGAGAGGGGAGGCAGGACCCTTGAAGCATCTTCCCACATAGCTTTCTTTGCATCATTTTATGGGATCAGATGGCCTAGCAGATACTCCAGATTTTGATGTTGGCAGTTGACTGAGTAAATCCACAGTTAAGTAAGAGTGGATTTGATTTCAGGGATTGAGAGCCAATTTGGGAACGTAAAAATGAAGTTTGCTTGACGTGATGACCGATTGAGAGAGAGGCTGAGGCTTGCGAGTCGTAGATTACTGTGTGACCCTTGATGTGCTTCCCCTTGATCTGCAGGGTGACTTCACGTGGAACAGTATGTCGGGTCGCAGCGTACGGCTGAGGTCAGTCTCCATCCAGAGCCTCTCAGAGCTGGAGCGAGCCCGGCTGCAGGAAGTGGCTTTTTATCAGCTGCAGCAGGACTGTGACCTGAGCTGTCAGATCACCATTCCCAAAGGTAAGGCCCCATCTGCCATCACATGGGGGATGCTGGAAGTCACACGTCTGCTCTGCCACAGCCCCAAGCCGCAGAGTCTTCTCAACCCCACTGTTAACACAGGGAGGAAGCCGTAGCTTCTGGGTCACCGGCTGGCGCTGGCAACCATTTTGAAAGATGTGTTCAAGTGGGACAGTTTACATGTCGACTATTATGTGTATTTAAAGGGAAGATCAACTTGGGGCATTAAAGGGGAAAGCCATGTGTATCTCAACGGTCTACGTGGCTTCAGCACAACCACTTAAAAAGAAGTTTCAGAAAGGTCAACTTAAAGGGTTAGAAGAAAAACCATGTCTATCTCAATATGATTTCAAAATAAGCAGTTGAAAAGAATGTTTTAACAATCTGTTAAACTTCTCATTTGACCTTATGCAAACTCAGAATCAGTGATTATACCAACGTTAACTCATTTTTATCCAGTCTTTCACCTGGCCTGTCTCTGTTGGGGTTCACCACTGTGACACTGGAGCCAGTGCAGGCCTGGTTGTCTGATGTTTTTACAAACACAGATCCTGATTCTGATAAAGATGAGAAGCATGTATTTGAAATCCTTTGATCTGTAAAGCCTGTTTCTGAAAGTTGACTATCTTCTATAAAGATACTTTTTAATGTGTATTCGTGTGTAGCCGTAAGGTAATTTGAGGTGAAGTGAAAAGCTGTGATGTTATACAAATGGAGTAAACCTGCCGTAAAAACGCAACATCGGCTGCTGTGCCTCAAACTTAAAGGAAAGCAGGAGAGGGATAGCAAGCATCTGAAAGCTAGAAGGTTGCCTTGGAAGATTTCAGTATCTGCAGAACTTCTCCTTTGTTTTCTTTTTTCAGGGAGTTGAGGGGATGCTTCATGAATATTCATGAAATCATTCATTTCATATATACACACATACACATAGATACGTAGTTCTCAACCAGGGATGGTTTTCCCCCAGTCCCCAGGTAAAATTCAGCAATGTCTGGCTCCACTTTCAGTTTTCACAGCTTGGAGGAAGGACGCAGCTGACATCTACTGCATGGAAGCCAGGGATGCTGTTAGACATCCTGCAATACACTGGACAGTCCCCCACAGCAAGCATTGTCAGGGCCCAGGGGCCCAAGTGGAGAGGCTGAGCAACCTTAATACACACATGAACACATGTGCTCGCCTTCCGTCAACAGCAGTGTTGGTGGAGCTGTTTTCTTGGCTCACCTGTGTCCGATGGAAAGGGCACTGGCTTGGGAGTGTGAAGACCAGAATATGAGGACTTGTCCGGTCACCCCCTCCCCCCTCCACATGTGAGCTTGGGCAATTTACCTCTGTAGTAGGAGGCTCGGTTTTGTTGACTAGAAAGAGTAGCACAAAGACAGTGACCACACAGAACTTTTTATTGGATGATGGCTCTTAGGGCCACTTTTATTCTTTTTTTTAAAAAAATGGAAGTGTAGTTGATTTACAATGTTATATTAGTTTCAAGTGAACATCATACTGACTCAGTATTTTTACAGATTATACTCCATTAAAAGTTATTACAAAATAAGACATGGAGAGTGGACTTGAGGACACGGGGACGGGGAGGGGTGGGCTGGGACAATGTGAGAGAGTGTCACAGACATATATACACTACCAAATGTAGAATGGATAGCTAGTGGGAAGCAGCCGCATAGCACAGGGAGATCAGCTCGGAGCTTTGTGACCACCTAGAGGGGTGGGATAGGGAGGGTGGGAGGGAGACGCAAGAGGGAGGGGATATGGGGATATATGTATACATATAGCTGATTCACTTTGTTATACAGCAGAAGCTAAGACACCACTGTAGAGCAATTATACTCCAGTAAAGATGTTGAAAAAAAAAGTTATTACAAGATAATGGCTCTAATTCCCTATGCTGTACAATATATCTTTGTTGCTTACCTATTTTTTACATAGTACTTTATATCTCTTAATCCCTTACCCCAGTCTTGCCCCTCTCCCTTCCCACTCCACACTGGTAACCACTAGTTTGTTTTCTGTATCTGTGAGTCTGTTTCTGTTTTGCTATATACATTCATTTGTTTTAGTTTTTAGATTCCACATATGTGATATCATACAGTATTTGTCTTTCTCTGTCTGACTTATTTCACTAAACATAAGATTCTCTAAGTCCATCCACATTGCTTCAAATGGCAGAATTTCATTCTTTTATGGCTGAGTAATATTCCATTCTCTCTATATGCCACATCTTATTTATCCACTCATCTGTTGTGAATACTTCAGTTGCTTCCATATCTTGGCAATTGTAAATAATTCTGCTGTGAACATTGGGGTGCATGTACCTTTTTAAAATTTTTTCCAGATATATACTAGAGTGGAATTCATGGATCTTATGGTAGTTCTATTTTTAGTTTTCTATTTTTAGCAGCCTCCATACTGTTTTCCACAGGGCTGTACCAATTTACATTCCCACCAACAGTGTAGGAGGGTTTCTTTTTCTCCATATCCTTACCGACATTTATTACTTGTAGACTTTTTGATGAGAACCATTTTACAGGTGTGAAGTGATGTCTCATGGTGATTTTGATTTGCATTTGCCTGATGATTAGCGATGTTGAGCATCTTTTCATCTGCCTCTTGGCCATCTGCATTTCCTCTTTGGAAAGATGTCTATTCATGTCTTCTGCCCATTTTTAAATTGGGCTTTTCTTTTTGATGTTGCGCGGTTTTTACATGTTGGATATTAACCCCTTATTGATCATATCATTTGCAAAAATTTTCTCCCATTCCATAGGTTGTCTTTTCATTTTTGTCAATGGTTTCCTTTACAGTGCAAAAACAAAAAGTTTAATTAGGCCCCATTTGTTTATTTTTACTTTTATTTCTTTTGCCTTAGGAGACAGATCCAAGAAAATATTGCTATGATTTATGTCAAAGAATGTTCTGTCTATGAGCTTTATGATTTCAGGTCTTATAGTTAAGTCTTTAATCCATTTTGAGTTTATTTTTGTATATGGTGTGAGGAAATGTTCTAATGTTGTTCATTTACATGTAGCTGTTAAATTTTCCCAGCACCACTTATTGAAGAGACTGTCTTTTCTCCATTGTATATTCTTGCCTCCTTTGTCAGAGATTAATTGACCAGAGGTGTGTGGGTTTATTTCTTGGCTCTCTCTATGTGTCTGGTTTTGTGTCAGTACCACGCTGTTTTGATTACTGTAGTTTTGTAGTATAGTCTGAAGACTGGGCAAGTGATACCTCCAACTTTGTTCTTTTTTCTCCAGATTGCTTTGGCAACTCCAGGTCTTTGTGGTTCCATATACATTTTTGGATTATTTGTTCTAGTTCTGTGAAAAATGTCTTGGGTATTTTGACAGGGATTGTATTAAATCTGTAGATTGCTTTGGATTGTATGGCCATTATAACAATATTAATTCTTCCAATCCAAGAGCACAGGCTATTTTTCCATTTCTTTGTATCATCTTCAATTTTCTTCATCAGTGTTTTAGTTTTCAGAGTCAAGGTCTTTCATCTCCTTGGTTAAGTTTATTCCTAAGTATTTTATTCTTTTTGATGTGATTTTAAATGGGATTGATTTTCACATTCTCTTTCTGATAGTTTGTTATTACTGTGTAGAAAAGCAACAGATTTCTGTATATTAATCCTGTATCTTGCAGCTTTACTGAGTTCATTTATTAGTTTTAATAGTATGTTGGTGGAGACTTTAGGGGTTTCTTTTTTATTTATTTATTTGTGGCTGTATTGGGTCTTCATTGCTGCACACGGGCTTTCTCTAGTTGCAGTGGGCAGGGGCTACTCTTCGTTGCGGTGTGCGGGCTTCTCATTGTGGTGGCTTCTCTTGTTGCAGAGCACAGGCTCCAGGCCCACGGGCTCAGTAGTTGTGGCTCATGGGCTCTAGAGCACCGGCTCAGTAGTTGTGGGGCATGGGCTTTGTTGCTCCGCGGCATGTGGGATTTTCCCGGAACAGGGCTGGAACCCGTGTCCACTGCGTTGGCAGGAGGATTCTTAACCACTGTGCCACCAGGGAAGTCCCTAGGGTTTTCTATATAAAGTATCATGTCCTCTGCAAATAGTGACAGTTTTACTTCCTCCCTTCCAGTTTGGATGCCTTTAATTTCTTTTCCTTGTCTGATGGCTGTGTTCAGCACTTCCAATATTGTGTTAAATAGAAGCGGCAAGAGGGGCCACTTTCATTCTTTAAGCTGGAATCTCGGACTCTGCTGGAGGTCATGAAAGAGTGCAGGAGAAGGGAGAGGTAGGTTAGGCCAAGAGGCTGGTGGACAGGCACATTTCACTGACTGATGCCTGGCTCCCTTGGCTTCCTCACCATGTGCTACTTGACACCACAACCACAGCCAGTTCCTTCCAGGAGGAAATTCCTACCCCTGTTATATCTTTTCATACTAATATAACACAGAGATCCTCAGGTCAAGTAAGAAGAAAATCCCTTTGGCAATGGGTGAAAAATGAGTGCTAATCACCATCAGGCCAGGTTTCTGCTTCTCCCTAAGACCTTCTCATTCTGCCTCATCTTGTCTTGGTTTGGTTTTAGGGTGGAGATGAGGGCTGCCCTCGCCTCCCCATTAACTCACAAGGTGGCCCAGGTGGGGCCCAATCGTCCTGTGTCCCTTTTACAAGAACAGATGTTCTTTCAGTTCCTAAGAAAAATTTTTAATAGAAATGTTTCTGGCAAACCAAATTTATAGTGAAGGGAATGATGACTCTAAAAAGTTATGTGAAAACCAGATTGGATGCACATCAGATGAGATACCAAGGAAAAAATATTCTTTGTAGCTTTGTTTTTAAATCCAGTTAATTTGATGTTTCTCTTTGTTCGTGCTTTTTATAGAGTCCACTAAATAAATAACCTTTACCACACAGAGAATTTTATAAAACTTATCTGCTAGAAGCTCTGTCTCCATTGCTTATTTATGAGACTATGTTGGTCCTAGTACATTCAGGGAAAGATTTGTTCTATCAAGATATGCAAAGAT